TATACTCTACGGAAGTGCTGAGAGGCAAACATTTTCACTCCTTTGTTTATGACTTAAAACCAGTTGAAAAAATGCTTTGTTCTTTGAAAAACAAATTGGTCTGCCAAACAGGTCGGGAAAAAAAGTTTTACCAACTATTTTTTAAAAATACATATTTAGGCAACAAAAGGTGAAGCATGCAGCTACCCCATGTTCTAAACAGGACTGCAATCATTCAACTGTGGATAAGTTCTGGTAAAACACTTTTCTAACTTAAAGAATGACATGACTTCATTGTACAATTACTTGATAACATAAAATAAATGATGTACCTTGTGTTATAATAGCAAACTTTTGTATGTAGTGGGTAATGCTCTCAGAGTGAATGCAGCTCAGGGCCTGACTCCTCCCCCAATCACTCCCCTCATTAGGGCTGCTTAAAAGGCACCTGTTGGCCTTTGTTCTTTGACTCTGTCTGTCATGGTCGGTGGTACAGGTAGCTTGTCTTATAAATGAATAATTTGGTCTCCTCAATCTCTGCTTGGTTATGCTCACTTGCTGCTTCCTTACAGTTTGTCCTTCTGCTTGTTGTCCTGCATACCAGTAGTTTATCAAAATCTTATTCCTGTGGTTATTAGGGCCAGAACATATCAATTGTTTGCCGCATGGTGAGCCATTCTTTTATTTTGTTTTGCGATAACTATTGTTTAGCTTACCTAGTTTATGTTTTGCATATTGTTTTGTCTGTTTTTTTCCATGGCGTTAAAACCACCTGAGATCCTTTTGTTTCAGTTATTTTCTTTGATTTATAATGGAGCTGAGTGCTGGTCATTGGGGGGGCTAGTCACCCCCATTGTTTGCTGTGGTGGAGAGCAAAGGGGCGCTCAAGTGAGTTACCTTTGCTGAGTGTGGTTTGCTGTGAATGCAACTGGTGAATATATGGTTTCACTTAAAGTAGCCTGCCGCTCCATTCACTGGCCTCAGCCCACTTTGGTTTTGGTTTCTTCTTTTCATGCACATGGTCTTTTTAAGATAAGATTGTAAGTACATGTTTTTAAAACACATTTTGTAAAAACATTTCAACTGAATATTTATATACAAATTTTTTATCCTGCAACCATTTTCTGAGTTTCCTACAGACTAACACGTCTCTGTCCCTCAGTCAACGAACTTGTGTCTTGATTTCTCCTGAAATGAAGGGTTTTGGTAAAAGGTAAAGCATTGCCTTGTGTTTATCTCCTGGGATGCAAGTCCCCAGGTGGCGTTGTGGGTCCTTTTTGTCTCTTTTAAACATCTAATTTAATATAAATAATATTTAAGCCCACCACAGTTAGACTGAAGAAATAGATCATCATAATACTGTATTTCCTTGTAGCCTCTCAGGGCTTCTGTACCACCCAGTTCATCAGGAATAAGAGCCTGTTGGCCGATGTCCCCTCTGGCTTTCAAAGGACATTTTGACCCCTGAGCACGCCCACCTTTCACTCACACACTGAACTCTGTGCCCATGCCAAGACTACAACATTTAAGCTTGTTCTCAATCTCCATCCACTCTCGTGAAAATTGGTTAAGAATTATAAAACTCCTTAGACAATACACGCTTTTTTCGGATGTATGGTTGATTATGTTGGCTGAAAATCTGGGGTTCCTTTCCTCGCAAAGTCAAATTAGCTCTGTGCATAATTCACAATGGAATAGTGTATCAATTAGCTGGAGATGTTTTGGCTACTCACTGACAGAACACAGATGGCACTGAAATGCTCATCTGCATGCAGGATTGGACCTGTCCCAGCCATTCAGGGAGAAAGATAATTTGCCTTTGTTGCCGCTATCACAACCTTTTTCAGAAACACCTCTTGTGAAAAGTCATCTCATTGTTGGATGCTTTTCACATCAGACAACACACAGTGTAGCAAGACAAGGCAATGTCACCTTCTTCGGAACTATAGTTAAAAACGTCCTAAAGCAGTAATAAAGGGAGGTATATCCAAACTTTGAATAGGAGAGCAAAGACCCTGAAGTCATTTAAGGCTTTCTAAATCTCTGTTTTAGACTGTGATATTGTTGGTGAATATCAGATAACACTGAAACTGTCAGAACGGAGCCAGTTGCATTGTGTTTGTCTTTCCTTCTCCAAACAGGATTATTTTTTTCCCCCTTATATTTTATTCTATAACCACCAGGACTGCCACACACAAACATGTCCAGCAGTTTGGCTTCATCCAGAATGACTCCCTTATTTTCTATTCACCACTGTGCCCCAAACAGCTTATTGTGATGTAGATGTTTCTTGTGAAAAATCTTGTACAAGTAAATGTTACATTCCTCAATTGCTTGCAGACAACCAATTTACTTTGTTTTGTTTAGTTTGTTCATTTTTCCACCACAATAATTACTGGTGCAGAACTTTCTAGACAAAGTGACATTTGGGTCTGAGTGAAAAAACTCTGCTCTAATGGCTATGCTGGTGGTGAGTAGAAATGTAGCATTCTATGATTATAAACACTGCTGTTTTGTGCAGTCCAAATAGCCATGAGATAGAGATTGATAGGCGGCCAGGGCTCAGAATTATGCTGAGGCAGCAAATAATTTGCCATTACTTGTAAGAGGTAGATTCTTTATTAAAAACATGTGGAGTCAGGGTATGTTGTGTGCTAAAAGGCTTAGTAGTATATGTTATAGCAGCTATTGGCCAGCACATCTCTATTGGGCTGAAAAAATATTGCATATTATACCTTTTGTGTGATTCTTTAGCTTTAAAATGTGTAAGATTCCTTCATTTTTCGATGGCAATATTAAAACATCAGGAAATAATTGTAAAATGTTTGCAAATCCAGAAGTTATTTTTGGAATCACAACCAAAATTTGTTTTTGAGTGTTATCAAGATTGTTACTTTTAATGTTTTTATTCTAACTTTTAGGATGACTATGATATTTGATATCCACCCCAACATTAAGCTACATTTCTGGATGCTGCATTAAAAGAAAAAACGGCCTTTCATTAAAAAACAACAGCAACAAAAACGTATACCACAAAAAGAAACAGCATCCTCCATTTTGAGGAAGACACATACAGTACACCTGGAATTGATGCCGGAATGTTGTCTGGCCAAAATGCAATGTTTTGAGATATTTATACAGAATAAATGAGTACTTCTCTATTACTTTTGGCTGTTTCCATTTATTTTAATAAGGTGCAATTTCTTCATTGTAATTGTATGTCATCTGAATCAACCTTGCATGATCATAAACTTCTTACATTAAATGTGTCTACATCAACACCACAATCAACAATGTTGGCCTCTGTCACTGATGTTGAATCCCATCCAAGTAACTACATTTTGATTGTCAAATCAGCTCCTTGTCAACACTGGATTAGATTACTTGTCTGTTTAGAATTTGGAAACCATAAGTCTTGCTTTATTATTTCTTCTTATCTTACTTGTTGCAAATAATGCAGTCCTTATCTGGCCTGCAGCTGGTTCAAAATGCAGCAGCGAGACTTCTTCCTGGTACCAGGAAAAGAGGTTGCTTATCTGCTGGAGTGGCCTCTGAATGTGCAGAATTTATTTAAAGATGATTTTTATTTGTATGGACTGCAAACAGGTTGTATCTCTGAACTCCTTATGCCCGTATTCCACCTCGACACCCCTCAGATCTGCTGACTAATCACTGCTCTTTATTCAATGCTTCCAGTATGATCTGGAATCATTGGGCATATTCTGTTGTTGGAACTAAAATGAGTTTGAATCGACTCCAAGATAAGAACATTTATTTTAATAGCCATCATGAAGACATCTTCTCTGTGCAATTCTGTTGTGTTTTAATGATGATTTTGTACATAATTATGTAGTCTATATTATTAGCAATGTGTGAATGATCCCCATAATTATGCCTGTGTTTTTGTAATCATCAGGGGCTGTGAATAACAATTTACTCATTAACCAACTTTGGCACATTTAAATTGGGATGGAATCGGAAATGATGATTAATTTGCATTATACATTTTGCAACTTCAGGAAAAAAAAAAAAAGATTAATCCAAAAATGTATTTTGGACCCTTTACTAAAAATGTGTACACACCAGGAGCGATGCAGTATCTTATTTTCATCTCTAAATGTATTTGTGCAACATAGTGACCTACTTTTATTAGTCTATATTTATTCACTGGGCTAGTACCGTCTAGCATTCATTGCTCCATTTCCAGAGGCTTTATTGTCATATGAACAATAGATAAAGCACAGTTTGGCATTGAACATCTGAATTCCCAGGTTCCGCCAACAATACAACATACAATACTTAAGACATAAAATCAAATAAAAATAGAAGAGATTAAATTAAAAAGATTACAAATAATTGCAGAAATAGTCACAATCATAATCCTTTGTCAATGTTAAAACAGGAGATTAAAGATTAAACAAATGAGTTGACTAACATATTAAATAGAGAGACAAGCACACTTTAATTAAATACAAATCAAATGGGTACACTACACAGATACAGGGTAGTAAAGATACATAGAAGCCTTAGAAAAGTAAGTGGACCTATACAAAGGTAATGAAGTAGCAGCCAGGAATAACAGTAGTGAATAGCAGAAGTATATATTACTCTTTGTTATTTATAATGTGTTGATTTAAAAAAGGAGCAGCCAGTTATTACAATTATACATGGGAAAAAAAGTATATATTGCAAAACAGTGTTTTTATAATATTGTATTGGCTTGGTATCATAAGTAAGTGAAGACACTTCACTGAGCTTGAGATAAATTCAAAGATGACTATCAATAAGTATTAAGATAATCAAATTCACACCCTTCTTTTACCACTGTCCTTTTACCACTGCCCTTACAGCACAGCAAGTTTTTTTTCTTTTCCCCCCAGGCAGGCGCACCACACTCCGGTCCCATGCATCTGCAGCACTGTATCAGGTGCTCCATCATTCGCTGCCGGGCTTCAGGGGGCGGAGTCTCCGGCACCGGGTCACACCCCCTGCACTACAGCGCTCGGTCCTTAGAAAAAACACCAAGGAGCGCACAGCCCGTCCGTCATTGCACACTGCTACAAAAATATGACCCCGAGAAGAGTGAATCTTGCGCTTCAACACTTAGGACAACACACCGAATAATTCCAACAGAAATCACAGAACACCTCCGAGTCTCAACTATTCAATTTCTCTGTCTCTTGTTCCCCCCTTCTCTCTGCGCTGGATCTTTCGAGCCAAGAAATGTGTGTGGAGAGCGATGGATGCGAGATTGAAGGCTGCAGCACTTTGGATGAGGTGCGCACGCTGTCCGGTAGCATGAGCCCCGCGTTGAAATCCAACCCGGACCTCCACCCGTGCAAGCCGGGGCACAAATTCCGAGCCGCGCTGCTCAAATGCCGCTCACCGGCTGCTGCCGCCGGGATCCTCACTTTTGGGAACGTCCTCAATTACATGGATAGATACACCGTAGTGGGTAAGAGATCTGACTTCTTCCTTTCTATTAGAGCATCATTTATTTATCTTAAGCACACCAGGGCTGCTTTCTGTATTCCATAGAGTGATACATGCGCGTAATTGCCCGTAAGCGGTGTTATGGAGCACACCTCAGCTGAGACGGGCGGAACAAAAGAGGCTTTGCCCAAGCGCAGTGGACAATCAGCTAAAAAGCACAAGGTTGTCAGGTGTTTCCACTGTGTACTGTGGTTTAAATTAATAACATGTCTAAGATATCACTCAAGAAAAGGCTGTACACTGATATTTTTTTACCCAGGGCTATAGATAATTGCAGATCCATCAATTAAGGCGACCAACTCTCCACTGTGTGTGTATTTGTGATAGGGCTCGTCTGTCAGTTTCAGCGACTGCAGAATGAGAGATAGAGTGTATCAGCGTGAAGAATCAGTCATTAGTTTCTCGCCGTTTTTGGGAGCGATTTATTCCAGGAACATCTAATCGCCTGTATTTTGTGTGGCTGGCTGTGTGTGTGTGTGTGTGTGTGTGTGTGTGTGTGTGGTGCTGTGATGGGGCCATGTGGTGTTCATCCCCCTCAAGTGTCTGCATTTCCTCACTATAGCTGAGATCCAGAGCATCATTTATTCAAACTGAACACTGTGTACAGAGGGACATTTAAGCTTGGCATGTGTTACAATGAGAAAAGAGATTTGTTTTAGCCTAATTATGGAATTGATTAATTGATTAACAATCATAGATGTTAAAAAGACCACCAAGAGTAGAGCTCAGCGAGATAAAGCAGATTTTTCAGAGTGAGAGATGTTTTATTTTGTTTAAATATTGTAAGAAATAGCCCTGGTAGAATCTAATTGTTTAGATGTTTGAGTCCCACAACTCACAAATGAATCTGATTTGAGTTAATTATTATGGATATAAGAGAGAATTGTATTAGCTGTTGTATACTCTCTGCAAATTAAAGGGTGTTACATTAGTCCTTATCCTCAAAATCCAACATTTGGTGATTGGATTTTGTAAGGCTAGTTATCAAGGCTTGGACATCAGACTGTGGAAATGAATGGGTTAAAATTATTGCTGCAGCAGGGAGAATGGAGGGAAGCATGGGGAGAGCATGCTATTCTGTACAAAGAAACACCTTCCTGGTTAAAGTACATTAATACATTGATAATCTCAATGACCTGTGAAAATTTGCTTCCAAATCTTGCATTTTTCTACTCCTCCCAATTTATTTGCTGCAATGACTGCAATTATCTGACTTTATCTGACTCTGTAGCCTGTGGTAGGGAGAAGGAGTGGCCCATTAAAACGGAACAATGCGTACACTTAAGTGTCCACAGCTTATCATCCTAAGGGCATGGTGAAGAGGAAAGCTACACACCCTCGGGCTCCTGAATGATCATGGAAGCCTTTAGCTGCTCAACCTACAGTCAAGAATGTGATGATGGGTCATATATCTAATCTTAGCATCTTTAAGCAGCACTCAGGCTCTGCTCATCCTCATCATGGATGCGTCAGTCTCCCTCCACACTCCATTTGTACTACTTACACCTCCTCATGCTTTGATCAGAGGAAACCCCTCAATAAGGGCTCAAACACAACTCCTCCGTTCTCTATATCTGGACCTTGCTGTGCTTTGGCAGGATAATGATTGACTGAGAGATGAGGAGAAAGTGGAGAAAGGGAAGTGGATGCGTAGGATGGGGTTAGGAAAGGGAGGGTGGTTGCAGCAGCCCGGGCTAACCCTCTTGGAGGAGGCTGTGCTCGGTGCATGTGGCTCATAGGGATCCCCATCTTTTCCTAATCCTGCTACCGGAACGCTGAAGGACTGTTTTGCATTATGCATTGGCAGCTTCTGAGTCAGACTCTCACACAGAATGAGGACCGGCAACCATGTGCATCCAACACAACTGATACCAACAGAGCTGATCTGCTGTTCTCCTCCTTCCTCTCTCCTCCTCTTGAGCTACATTGCAGTATAGTAATTAGGTGGTGCGCCTGTGTTGGAGGCGCAGTGTTCTTTTTCCATGTAGAGCTGCAAGGATTAATGGACTCATCGATTAGTTGATCAGAAGAAAAATAATCTATAAAACTATTTCTATTATCTGGTAATCATGAAAGTACATTTTCAAGCTAAAATGTACGATAATGTTTTTTTCGGCCTCTCATTTATGGAGATTTGTTGCGTTTAATTGATTTATATCATATTAGGTGAATATTAGGGCTTTGGACTGACACATCAAGACATCACATTTGACTTTGAGGAACTGGGATTTAAAATGTTCACTAGTTTTTTACATTAGATTGAATGATTAATCAGCAAAACATTTTTGCAGATTTATGGGTATTGGAATTAAAGATTTTTTTTTTTTTTAATGCGTCTTTTAGCTTAATGTTGTCTTTTCCTTAGTTCATTTTCCTTAGTGGGATTAAGTTTATATATATATATCAAATGTTCCTTTCCACCTTGTGGACTCCCCCAAGCTTTCAGTCCCATCCTCCTTTACTAATCACTTTGCTCTCCGCTTCTCCAGCTCTGTTGTTCTCTTTCTTAAGCGGCAGGTACCCGAAGCGCATCCCGACTCATAGATCTTAATGTCAATTAGGCAGGCATCAGCACACACACACAGAACACTCACACACATTTAGAAAAAGACTCTCCCCACCATTTCAAGAGGGGCTGAATGAGAGAGGGGAGGGGCCGGTGCTGCAGTGGCAGGCAGTCGGAGGGAAGTGGACGCAGAGTGCAGGGCTGAGCCCAAGCGATGCAGCCCCCCCCACAACCTTCCCCGACGTCAAAAGGTCTTTGTACCAGCAGCCATTACTGTAGTGTGTGTGGATCACTAAAGCATTGTCACAGGGACAGAGGGTGACCATTTCAGACACCGGGGCTATTCTGCTCCACAACAATGATGGGAAAATTGCACCAACCAATGCACAGCAGCAGTGTCAAAAGACTTGGATCTTTCTGTTAATCCCCGGTGTCAGAGGTGAAGCCACACACACACGCACATAAAAAAACACCACCTACAATACACTTTATGATTCCAACACTTGACTTCTCCAAGCCGATGGTGTGAACCACAAAAAAGTCACAATGTCTTTTAGTTTTATGAGGGGTTGTTTTTCTCTGGATTTGATAAATCACAGCTAATATTTTGTATTACACGGCTTGGATTTTTAATGCCAGCAGTGTGTGAGGAGAGACGGCTCCAACATAGTCATTGTGTGAGACTTGAGCTGCTGCATATTGGAGGGAATGTTTAAGATGGAATAAGGGAATGTTTAATCATTCAGGTTTCTAAAAAGGACTAATTCTGAGTCTGGGAATTACATTTACCTATAATAAGCAAATCACAGTAATACACTTCCACTTTTCCATTCCTTAAATTGTTCTTTCCACTCCTTTTAAAATTCATTTTGAATATCTGTTGCAGTCTTGTAATGCGTTGTGGAAATGAGACAGTGATCTGTTTTTTGTTACGGGCCACATACAAGTGTGAGAAGGCCCAATGTAAGGGCTTCTGAAAAGAAAAGAAAAACTCAAAGTTGGATTTTAGGCTCAGCTGTTCAGCCGGTGGGTCAGACCTGACCTGCAGTGCTCCTTCAGAAGCATGTGCTCGTTTTTACGACTGTCTGTGAAGCAGACAAGGCAGAAATGGGGAGCGTCTGGAACATTTCAGGTTGTCCTAAAGAGGTCTGTCAACCCCTTCTGATCACTGCGTTTGAAAATAGAAGCAGGCAGGGAAATAAGATGGAGATCAAACATGATTGGAGTGGAGGTGGATGAGTTACGATGCCCCGGTCGGGTCACTGGTGTGTGGCCTTTGGAAGAAAACCCCAGACACTTCTTTTCCATTTGCTTTTCAGAGTGCTCTGAGATTTAGAGGGCCACAATTTAATTTAATTTCAGGTGGCTCTGAAACATTAAATCCCGGTGCTGGTCTCTGCAGCCCCACAGCAGACAGTCCAAGCTCCTCGACAGCTTATCATAAAGAGGGGATTAAGCCTTTTTTCAGAGAATATGAGGATATGTGAGGCAGACACTGGGTACTTAAACTTATTTGCCTGCTAAGTACCCTGATGTGTGTCAACTCTAGCCACCCCCCTGTGTGCACCCAGAGGCACCCCCTTCTTAGCCAGCAATGGGGCATTTTGGGGGGTACTGACTGCAGCCTAATCTGTGGTGTGCAGAAATGTTGAAGAGCTGCAGATTAGCAGGTCTTCTCGATACCTTAATCTGAGTCGTCTCAGTCAAGCTGTCATTCCAGAAATACCCAAAAATGGGGTTGCATCCCATTGGACAAGTGTAGGACCCTTGCATGTGAACTATTGGCATCTTGCTTACAGACACAGATGACCATGTGGTGATAATCCTCTTAAGGCAAGCTCTGTCGCACTGTAAAGAAGATGTAGCAATTTATCCAGTCTGACAGACTATGCAGATTAATTCCTGATAGCTTTGTCCAGTTCCTTTGTGGCTACTAATTATCACTGTCCACCATTCCTCTGTATTCACAGTGTAAATGATGCACATTTTTTCTGCTTTCTACATATTTTCCTGTCTGTTGTCACAACACAAAGTGCTCTTTCTTGAGTGGAAGTCATCAAAGTTGAAGAAAGTGCAACACTTTCAGTTCCGCAGAGGCTATAGGAAATAACAGAAGTGAAGACACTAATCTCTGTGTCAGTTAGAGAGATTTGGGGCTAAAACAAATTCTACTCAAATTCAAGAGTAGAAAATAGTGTTTCTGCATGACAATCCCAAGTGTAGAATATCTCGCTGACAGTTTTTTGAGCTACTGGTAGAAACATGTCAGTGCAGATCTTCTCAGTATGAAGTGTTGCTGCAGAATATGTCAGGATTAGACATACAGAAGTGTCTCCTGACTACCAAACTGTGTGAGAGGCTGTGTGGGCAACGCTCAAGTTGCTCAAGTCTTCACACTTTTGCCTATTCACCCTCTCTTGTTTTTATAGCGTTCACATTAAAGGACTCAAAACAAC